TTAAATAGTTAAATAACTTTTAAAACCTTGGCCTCCATTTCCCAGTGCTGGGCTGCTCTGATAATGGCACTCTAGGTCAAGACCTGCCCTGACACACCTTGCTTGAGGTGAGATTATGCAAGGGGTGAGATAAGATGACCCATTCATTTTAAAATCTACCTATCTAGGTGATTTCAGCCCTTTCTCAATAAGATAAAAACATTACAAACCTACTCCCATTCAGACATATATATACACAGAGAAAGGGTTTTTATAYGTTTATAYATTTATATAGTATATTCATRAAMCATCAGCACYTGAGCACTTCRGTCAATACACCCTACAGAGACAGCCTACTGCTTTAATTTCTAGCATATATATCTTTATAATATATGTATTACATATATGATCTTTAAGGTCCCTTCCAAGCCAAACCATTCTCTGATTCTWTGATAAGGAAGAAATTGTTCCCTGTGAGGGTGGTAAGACTCTGGCATGGTGCCCAGAGAAGCTGTGGCTGCCCCTGGATCCCTGGAAGTGTCCARAGCCAGGCTGGACARAGCTTGGAGCAACTTGGGATAGTGGAAGRTGTCCCTGCCYAYGGCAAGGGGTGGAACTRGATGGGCTTTCCAACTTATTTTGGGTTTCCATCCCAGACTGTTCTATGATTCTATGATATATATACACAACATATAAAGAACAAGAGAAAAGCAGTTATCATTTGTTTTACACAGAAATGAAACCAGGCAACTTAGAAAATTGTCAAGAATCATAAATCAGTTGCAGAATCGGAAATTAAAACAAACTAACTTAAGTACTTCTTTGGTTTGGACAGGAAAGTGYTCCAAGATCAGTTGATAAGAACGGAAAAAAAGCACTAATATTCCTAAAGTAAATTCTTTAGCTCTGTGATGTTMAAAAACAGCTAGAACAAGTGAATTTTTCCACTCTAACTGCAATAATTCTCGATGCAATTCTCCTCCTGTTTCCTTTCCACAGCCCACAGCAGCTTGCAGGCTGCAATACCAGTCTGTCCTGCAGCTCCTWACCTTGTGTTTACTCAAGGGTTAAGGAGTTAGCAAGTTACAAAGCCCGCTGTGTCTCATGTGTGGGAGTAAATGTCATATCCCACTGCACAGGTTATTTATAGCACAGCACTATTTGGGAAGTGAAACTTTTCAATGGTGAAGTTTTCAAGCAGTTGTTTCAGGATGAARTTCTCAAGAGCAAAACAGCCGAGAGCGCGTTTGTCACTTGGGCTCGAGGTGGCTCCAAATGTCACAACAAAAGCAGCGGGGTCTGAGTGTGGCCACGTTGGTCTGAGAGCTCCAGTGTCCACTCAAAGGGACGGTTTGTGCAGCTGGCACRTCAATCCCATGTCCCCACCACAGCACAGAACACTGCTCTGTCATCATCATCACAGTACCTGGTGGAGGAGCTCTTCCCACAGATAAGGTACCCCATGTTCCCAGCGAGGGACCCCCTCAGAAAGGCCTGCAGCTCTGGCTGAGCACTCCAAACCCCCAAATTCCTCCACACAGATTCTCCAGTGTAGCTGCCATGGCCAGACACCAAACACCAACACCACCTGAAGGAGGGGACACCGTGACCCAAGAACAGACTGTGAGAATGCCATATATAAGGCCTGGTGACCCCCACCCCTCCTGTGCTCCCAACTCAGCAGCGCCCATGAGGGCTGGACCTCATCTTCTAGGAGAGCCATTAGGACAGGACAGCATGCACTGAGGTGGCAGGGGGGTAAAGTGGTCCGAATGCTCCTTTGTTAACATGTCACTGGACTGGTGGGATGATGCTGGAGATCAGCCAAGGTGGAATGAGCTGTGTTCATCTATGAAGCCAGACTGAAGCTGCCAAAGGCCTGCCTGGCTCGAGTCCTTGTATTGTAACACGCTGCTCTTGGCTCACACACAGTGAGCACCACACGTGGAGAAACAGCTCAAGAACTCCCAGCTAAGAGCCTTTCCTGACCAGTGGTCCCAGGCTGGATCACCATAATCAATCTGGGCAGCAACAAAAGGCCTCTGTGAGGCTGTGGATGCTCTCTGAACTGTAACTACAATCACGGGTCTTGACACTACTGGGGCACTCGAAAGGAGAACTCTGCATATTTCGCAGCAATTATTAATGCAGCTATTTGTGCTAACTCTCCAAACCAAGTCACAGATACGCCCTGTGCTATTTCCATAAACAGGAGCCCAGCTGTATTTGCATTCTCTCCATGTGTGCTGGTGCTCAGAACTGCTTGTGGGTTTGATTGCCGCAATAGAAACCAGAGCCGGCCATAGGAGCCCCTGGAACCAAGACAGAGGGATAAGAGCAGAGCCAGGCCCAGCCAGACAGGCGGTGCTCTCACTCTGCTCCAAACCCAGCTGGGGCTGCAGAGGTGTCAGGAGCTCTGATGGATCCCTCTGTGTTCCTGCTGCTCCCAGCTAAAGGGCTCTCCTGAGCTGTACCTCGACCAGAGTTTGCTGACTGCAGTGTCATTGGTACACCATTCATGCTTTGTTCGTGCCTTCAAGACATTCTTCACAGCTCCAAGAGTGACAAGCTCCTCTGCCAGTAAGACTGAGACCATAGATTCATTCCACAGATTTTAACCACAAAAGAAGAACAGTGTTCTGCATTTCAGTTTTGAACCTGGACTTGTGACAAGCTCCATGTGTACTTTTCTCAGCCCGGTCCATCTCCTGTCCTTCCTATTTCCCAACAACTACCAAACATAACTCAGATGGAAAGTGTGGCTTGCTCAAACCCACAAAATTAGTATTAAGRTCCTTTATATTTTGTCAAAAGCTTTGTTTGCTCTTCTTTCAACCGTGATAAAAKTATCAAGGTCATAAATACCCCTAAATGCAACATCACAATCACCTCAACTATTGTGGCAAAAATAACCTCAGACTTTTAAAGGTAAATCATGCCAAATGTTGTGACCAGCTATTATCACAACTGCTGCTGCCTCTCTTGAGATTTTCTTTCATCTTGAATTAGGAAGAAACTCTTCCCTGTGATGGTGCTGAGGCCCTGGCACAGATTTTCCAGAGAAGCTGTGGCTGTCCCTGAATTCCTGGAAGTGTCCAARRCCAGGCTGGATGGGGCTTGGAGCAACCWGGGATAGTGGAGGTGTACCTGCCCATGGCAGATGAGCCTTCAGATCTCTTCCCATCTCTGTAAGGATGATTCTTTAYTCAGGGATGTTAAGAGGTCAGGTGGATCCCGGGTTCTGTGACTGTAACATGTTCTGTCCAAACACAGGAGCACACAGAACCCAAAACTCAACTCTCTCCACACACACAACTCAGAGATGCTCCAGGAAGGACTGAAAAACACCTGCAGCTACCATTTCTCTCCTTGGAGGGCTGACCTGATGACAGCAACCCCACTCCCARCATTTCCTATGTACACTTTAACCAATTCCACAAGTTCTGGAGTAACCTGCAGACAATCCTGTTGACTACAATACACGAGGTATGACCTACTGTGACAGGTTCATTTCAATTAATTCAGGGTTCATACTCTGAGTTAAATGGGCAACAGGATTATTCTGCAGTACAATGTAGAACCATAYAATCATTCAGGTTGGACACCACCTCTATGATCAAGTGCAACCAACACTGTGACACAATAGAATCCTCCAACTGTAGAGGAGTTAAAGAGCTGCAGGGAGTTAAAGTTTCTCTCCAAATGATGTGAGGAGTCTGAGCAAGAGGCTCCTGTACAGGGCCTCTTGTATATGCTGAAGGTGAGGGATGTGAGATTTTGCTACTGACCATTCCAAGGCTGCTCCGAGCACCATCGCTGTCATCCTCATAGTTTCTGCCAGAGCGTGAATCTTTACCTGCTTGTGTGTCACACAAGAGTACAAACGCAGAAGGAATAAGCCCTGAAGAAATTCTTTCCTGTGAGGGTGGGGAGGTCCTGGCACAGGGTGCCCAGAGAAGCTGGGCTGCCCCTGGATCCCTGGAAGAGCCCAAGGCCAGGCTGGACAGAGCTTGGAACACCCTGAGACACTGGGAGGTGTCCTTGCCCTCCCATGGCAGGGGTGGCACTGGATGAGCTTTAGGGTCCCTTCCAACCCAAACCATTCCATGCTACTATGATTCTGTAARTTCATCAGAATATTTTATTTAAAGCTCTGGAATTATCTCTGAAACTATCTATTACCAATGAATCCCACCTCACTGAGTCAAGGACCGAGTCACCCACGCCCACCCCTTCCTTTAGTATGAAAGAAAATAATAACCTTACTTGGGCAAAGCATAACCCGAATAATGAAATGTCACTTATTGGGGGGGCATCAGAGGCTGCCGCATCAAAATTATTGCAAACTTATACTACTKGAAATTCTCCCCAGAGCAGGACTGACCCCTCCCACCCCCCATGGCTGGGATGGGGCTCAGCCGGGGAAGCTCCGGCACCGAGGGACACACTCGATACAGCCCTTCTCTTGCCACTGCACCGGAAAAGGGCGACGCAGTCTTAGACAAGGAAAAAAAACCTAAAATCAGTGCTAAGTCTCAGCTTCCGGAGGCAACGGCAGTGTAATGGGCGAGTCTCTGGAGCGGCTGCTGACAGGCAAAACGCGCTACTACGGCACCGAGGTACCTCCGATGGAACTCCGAGGTGGCCTCAACACGCCAGCCGCGCCCTGCCCGAAGGAACGAGACACCCAGCGGCACCCAGGAGCGACCGCAGCCACGGCCAACATGGCAGACTATCCTGAGGGGACCCGCGACAGATCCCGACCCCGCCCCCGCGGGGGAGCGCGCATGCGCAGCGCCACAGCGCCCGGAGGAACCGCGGGGCGGAACCTGCTTGGCAGAAAGCCCCTCCCACTTCTGGGAAACCCAGGCGGTCGGAGCCGCGCCGAGGGGGCGGGAACCGGGGTGCAGGACCGCGCGGTGATTGGGCCTGACGGGCGGTGGGGCGGGGCCATGGGGGGAGACTGGGCGGTGATTGGCTGAGCGGAGGCAGGGGGCGGGGCCGTCGCKGGGTGCCGCCTGTCAGCGAGCGGGAGCCGCCGAAGAGGCCTGAGGGGCCGCGCCGGGCTGTGCCGGGCTGTGCCGGGAGAGCGGAGCCGAGCCGGACCGGGCTGGACCGAGCCGTGCCGAGCCGTGCCGCAGCGGTAGGTGCGGGCCCGGCCACCGCCGTGGAGGCGGGATCCGGGTCCGGAGGGCGGTGTTCGGTCCGGGAGCGCGCGGCGCATCTKCCCAGTAGGGCCTGGCGGAGCTGTCGCCGCTGCCGGCGAGAGCAGCGTGTGGGAAGCCACGGGCCGGCCAGGGGGCTGCGAGCGGCTGATGGACTCCCCGGGTCCCGCCGCAGCCGCTCCCGCTGCAGAGCTCTGTGTGTGTGTGTGTTCGGAGCGTGATTGTCACTGCCCTTGCCGGCACCGTCTCGAGTCTGCGGCTCCCGGTGCCCYGGARCACCCGACTCCCTGAGCTCCCGGGCTCCCCGGGCCCCTCAGTTCCCCGAGCTCCGGTTCCCCGGGTCCCTCAGTTCCCTGAGCTCCCGGGCTCCCCGGTTCCCCGGGTTCCTGGTGCAGGGGCTTCGTCGATCCCTGGTCCTGGAGAGGGGAGGATGAGACAGGGCTCAGCTCATCACAACACAACCGAGCCAGGCTTTAATCCACCTGAACCACCCGCTCCCTTTCTCTCTGTGATCTCTTTGACACAACTAAATTTTTATTTTTCTTTTCTGGCAAAAGGTTAAAATATTTCTTTGCTGATTAATAAGTTGCTGCTGTGGTTGATCTCAGATGCTTCCTGTCAGCTTTAACTGGTTACATTAGAAACATGTGTTGAGCGCTCCACACATGTACGACACAGCAGTCTGAAACCAGCACCTATAAACAAAGTCTGAATTTCTTTTTCGACTRGCTTTCTGAACCCTTTTATGAGTAATAACTCGAGCTTCTGTGCTGTGACATTAGTGATAAGAATAGTCGAATTGAGTGTGTCTGTAGTGAGCTGCTTTATTGCATTTTACCTCAGTTGAAATCTGTTATTGGCACGGCCACTGGATTCCTTGAGAATGAGTCACTTGCTATTAACTATTAAATTTTAACTGTATTAAGAGACTGAATCTTGTAGTGCACTGTGAAGGAGCATAACAAACAAACATAACTGAAAACCTAAAGGGTTTGTGGGACCAGATCCAACATCACTGAAGTTAACGAACTTGGAGTTAATGAGTCTGTCCTGAGTCTTCTTTTTGTGATAAATGGAAGCGGGTAGAGCTGAGCTGTTGTAGCATTGATGAAGTGCTGAATTATTATTATAATTACCCAGAGGATGGAGACAAAGTGACCATAAYTCTTCAGCTTTCCTTCTGTGACTTTTGAACTTTTCTGGCAAGTGTCAGATGTSTTGGYGGAAACAGAAGGATTGCRGCCTGGGAGACAGCAAGATTTCCAKRTTCTGAGAGGAGCAGCTGGCTGGGAGTAAAAGAGCCTGAGTTAGGGCAGGGTCTGGAGATGCTTGGAGAGGGGATTCAGGATGCATGGAGGGACCAGGAAGTGGAACAGACATTTGAGAATTGAGTCTGCAGGGAACTAGGCTTTGTTGATCGTGGTTTAGTGACACCAGGGTCCTGAAGAACAAGGACCTTGTCTTGCCTAAAGGCATTTCTGTTCAACAGTTCATGTGGAAGTTTGTGTCACAGGAGTCTGCTCAGGTTGGACAGTTAGAAACCATCCCAATGAATTCATATTTTGATTTTATCATATGAAATGATCACATCTAAATTTGCAGGACCAATCATAAATTAAGATTGTATAGAACTGCCTCTATCTATACCAAATTTAACTAAGCTTTTGGTTTGGTTTTGCCTGGCATCCCAGCCTTACTGTTTCCATGTAGGTTGACATGGATTTTATGAACATGTTTGAAATGTAAAGCTGCAAAGCAGCATAAAGTAACAACTGGTGACAGCCTGGCTCCTCCTGCCTGGGCAGAATTGATTTTCAAGTGTGTCTGTGGTGGTTGGTGGAAGTGGTCCCATCCRGTGTTCTGTTGTATAATTTTGTTATAGTTTAGGAAAAAACTTCACAAGTGGGTTGTCAGACCCAGGAGGTTGTTAAGCAGTGGCCTGAAAGCCGTGTGAGAACAGCTGGGAAGCAAATCCTTATTGGGCTGAAGTTTGTTCTGATTATTTCTGTTCTCGTTTACAAAAGGGTTGGGAAAAATTAGCCATTCTTTGAATGAATGGGCTTATGGTGGTGTTTGTAAACTCTGGGTAAATGGTGGTGTTCATATYTTTGTTCAGCAATACAAAAAGAATTGTTCAGGGGTGAGCTGTGCTTGGGCTGTTCTCGAGGAAATGAGGATAAAGGTGTGTTTGGGTGCTTTTAGAAATCTGCTGATAGTTAAACCCAGTCAAACATTTCCCTGCAGATTCTGTAACCAAACTATTGCAATATCTTAATGTCTGGGAACTAAAAAAAACTGTTGAGGCTCATTATCCTGGTGTTTACAGTAAGCAACACCAGTGGCTGAAGCAGGATTTGGGAGTATTTACTATCAAACCACTTTAAAGAACATGTTTACATACTCGCTATCGTTTGTAACTTAACGTGTTCTACACAGGACTGATAGCAAAGTGCTTCAAACAGGGAGTTTGTGCTGGTTTGGGGAGAAGGTTTTTAGCTTTCCTTGATGCTCCTCAGGTAAATCTGTGGATACACACGAGGGGGATCAGAGGGGATTGTGCGGGAGCCCTGGAACAGCCAGATGGGTCACAGTGGTTATCGAAGCGGAGGTGAAGGCTGAGAGCTCCCTGGAATAGCAACTGCTGCTCTGACTCACCAGGATTTTAATCAGTCAGGCATTCTATTTATTTTCATTTTGGAGCTCTTAGATACACAGGGGAAGTCTCCTTTTTCTCCCTCTTAGACAAAGCAGCATTAAGTGTGTTTTGAGGTCGTGGGCTGTTGAGTGCTACAACTGGTTTTCTTTAAGTCCCTTCTGACACAAAGTGAAACTTGTCCTGCTGACAGCTCTGAGCAGTTTAAATCTCCACCCTGGGCCTGGGCTACAGTAACAGGCCTTGAACTGCCTCTGCCAAAAAACCGGAACCCTCTTAATTTCAGTTCCATCTGAAACATGGGCAGGCAAGGGAGCTCATGGGTGGATCCAGGCAGAGAGAGTTACAGAGGGGGAGGCAGGGATGCAAGGAAATGGTGCCTGGGGTCTGAAGGGATTGTGCAAAGAATCATGGAATGGTTTGGGTTGGAAAGGACCTTAAAGCCCATCCAGTTTCACCTGCTGCCATAGACAGGGACACTTTCCACTATCAGGCCCCATCCAACCTGGCCTTGAATCCTTCAAGATATATATATATATATATATTCCAAATATATATAAATATATAGATATAAATAAAAAATATATATATATATATATATTAAAAAATGCATATATATTTTATATATATATATATGGAAGGATTCAAGGCCAGGTTACATGAGACTTGATAGTGGAATGTATATGTATATTTATATATGTGTATGTATATCTATGTATATATGTGTATAAATATATATATATAAAGTATATATGTGTACATCTATATCTAGAAAGTACATATGTATATGTRCATGCCTTGGGCCCCAAACCAAGTTTTTAATGTGATCCATCCATGTAACAAGTGCCATCTGTTACATTTTTTTTTTTTTTTACTTCGGAAGAACATGTTCCTTCAGAAGGTTTGATGGCTTTGCACAAGGATTTTGCAGCTAATACCCTGAGTAGGTTCTTTTGGCTGCAAACTTGGCACTTTCTCCCAAACTCACTGACAGCTGTTAAGACTGGAAGGTCCCCAAAAGGTGTGTGGTGTTCTTCTCAGTTGACATTCCCTGCTCTASTGATGCAGAAATTCCTGGCTCTTCCCAGCTGTTGCTTTGTTGTGGTGCTCAGCAAAGCAACATGGCTAAAAATGCTCCTTGTGTTTGATCAAACCATCAGCTGCAGAGGCAACCTGAGTTAGTGCTCTGTGTACAAAACTCTTTTCCATGAGGAAGTGGGAAACCTTACTGAGACAACATAATTTTTTTTCTTATTCTTTCCTTTCAAACTAAATGTCAGTGTGAAACTGCTGCTGAATGGGTACACTCACATGAGGAGAAGAAATCTCCATTCTGTAAAGTCAACTTAGGARGTATTACATATATTTTAAAGCACTTTCCTAAGTTTATTTTCACCAAATTCATGGTCTGCTCCACAAAGCATTCCCCAAGATTGTGCCAAAAGCTGTTGTGCAGGGAGATTGGAGCCAGGCACACCAAGCAGGATCCCACACATGTCATGGTGTGCTGTGGAGTGGTTCYGTGCTGGAGATGTGTTTGCATGGCTCTTGTCCAACTCTGAGTTTCTCTCACCTTGATTTCATGAAACACAAAAATGCTGTTTTAAGGTCCATGCTCCAAACATATTCGACTTGAGATGGAAAAGCTGAAGAAGGAGTTGTTTAGAGAAGGGGGGAGGAGGTTTTAAAGGAGCAGAAAACACTTGGTGATCTCTTATATTAATAATGTCTGAGTATCTTCTTAGTTTGGACTCCCTACAAGTCTCAGGTGACCTTATCCGGTATTTTAGTTTCTCCCACACATTATTTGAGGGAGGAGCTGCCATTAGTGCGGTGCCTTCACAGCACAACTGAGACTGTTTAGCTTTCATTCTGTAAAAACACACTTTCTGTTTTACAGCAGTGGGAACTAACAGTAGTTAAGCCAAGGTGAGTAAACCCTCAGTGAAGATAAGGAGCAAACAGTCTCTGAGCTGCTATCAAAAGCCCATTGTGGGTTAGGAGTGCAGATCCSCTCTTATCTCCTGCATCATTACCTGACTTCCCCTTTCTGCCTTGAAAATAACAAGCCCATCACATGTCTACAGAAGGAAGAAAGTTAGGGGTCTGGAAATCCAAAATTACAGCTGTCTGTAAGTGACCTGGCTGAGGGAGAGGAGGTTTGGAAAGCCAGAGAAGCAGTTCTGGATAGGACACAACTACCCTGCAGCTCAGGAAYGTGAAGCTCCTTGTGATGCACATCCATGTCTTGTGTCTGCACAGGATGCTGTGCTCAGTCTGGAGTACATAAACAGGCAGGGGAACTGCAGCTCCAGAGCATCTCATGTGGGTAAATCCTGCTCTCAGTGGGCTTCCTGTGGATCCTCAGGTACCCATTTGCTGCTCTCCAGGCTCCCTTTTACGTGGAGCTCCCTGACAAAGGCTATGCTTGGGGTCTGGGCAGGACTCAGGAGCACTTTGCACCTCTCTTTGCCCCCTCCACRTGCACACAGGTGAGTCAGGCCTGTTCGGATCTGAATCACAGAATCAYYGAGGATGGARAAAGCCTTCAAGGTCATTCAACCCAAYCTTCAACCAARTCCCACCATGCCCACTAAGCCATGTCATGAAAGTGCCACTTGATTTTTTAACACCTCCAGGGATGGGGACTCCACCACTGCCCTGRGCAGCTCCTTCCAATGCCTGACCACCCTTTCAATGGAAAAATTTTCCCAGTTTCCAACTTGAACCTCCCCAAYACAACTTGAGGCTGTTTCCTCTTGTTCTSTCCTTTGTCCCCTGGGAGCAGAGCCCGACCCTCACCTGGCYTCARCCTCCTGTCAGGGAATTGTAGAGGGCAATAAAGTCTCCCTTGAGCCTCCTTTTCTCCAGGCACAAGTTACACTTCAAAAACCATTTCAAACTGATTATTTTTAATCCCAAMTTCTGCCCACCATGCTTTGCTGCATACAGCTGGCATTTGACTTTTCCAAGGACTGAAAATTGTGCAGCAACAGCTAAACCAGGCTGGGCTTGCAGCTTCTGGTCCTGCACAGACCTGAGTCACACATTAAACTGGCTGAGCTCTGCCCAGGTCGAGGCCGTTGCTCACAATTGCTGCCTCGGTCTCTTTGAGTCTGCAAGTGAGGTAGTGCTTTGTTGACTTTAATCTCAGTAATGTTTCCTTGTTATTCTTTGCTATTTCAGAGGGTGACAGGGACTTGCAGTTTTGTTTTTTCCCCTCTCTCTGTTTTCCTTTGACTCAGTCATGGAGGGACTTGTAGAATTACATTTTTTTCGCTGATGGAGATTGGTTTGCGTGAAGGACCTTGAAGGTGAGGGGAGGGCAAGGAGAGACAGAGTTAATGCAAGTCAGGAGAGAGTGAGGATAAAAATAGCTCTGAACTTGTCAGTTTGGTCATTGGTGGCTGGGTTAGTCATCTGGCAGGCTCCCTCCTGCTGCTCCRAGGGATTATTTTACAGCACTGAGAATTGACATAATTTCTGTAGAGGAGAGGGAGCGGGACGGCYGTAATGAGCGGGATACTGTCATCAGCACTTCTTTTGCACAGCAGCTGTTCTCTGTTTGGCCGCTGAATGTGGTCATTGTTGACTTTCCTTGTCTACCTGCCAGGTTGTTAGGTGACTCACAGCACCAAGGTTCATGCACTTGGCTCCCAAACACCTCCCTTTTTCCTTGGTGGTCCTTCAGGCATGGAGCACCCACTCATTTTGTCATTTTCCTGATTCATCTCAGCTGCCAGGAGCCTGTTGGAGTAAATGTGCTGTTGCCCCAGGACAGGGAAAAAGGAAAAGGGAAAAAGAAAAAGAAACTGCAGATTGAAACTGGTGAGCCTAAAAGGTGTGTTCCTGGAATGGTGCTGACATCTCAGTTTTCCTGTTCCTCCTTGTCCTATCCTGGGTTTGTGGTACTTAACACCTGTAGATGTTGCCCAAGGTTTCTGAACTTCCATGGGTTGTTTAAGGGTGGAAATGTTCCATTTTAAGGTTTTACACTTGTGCTATAAGAGGACTGACACAAGGAGGAGATCTTGGGGAACAGAGCATATTCTGGTTTCTAAGGAAACAACTTCTCCAGAGTCCAGGGCAAGGAGATCAGGGGCTAAACCAAATCTGTATTCCCTAGGGGATTGTTCTTTAGGGAACTGCTCATTGTCCATGTTGCTGATTTTYACCCCCAGGTATCCCATCCTGTCCCTCAGAGCTTTGCTTCCATTCTGGTTTATGCTTTTCCCTTTCCACCCCTGGCTCTTTTCCACCTTCCCCTGTGCTTCCCATTGGCTGAGGTTTATCCTGTGCTGGGACTTGTTTGGGGCTCCATTTATGCCCCTGCTCAGCTCCCAGCCTTGCTGATCCCCTCCCCAGCTGCCAGGCAGAGGGATCTGTTCCAGCACCATCACTGTCCTCTATCCAGCACCAACTTCCATGAATCCTGAGCTCTGTGTGAACCCTGCTTCTGATGGGCTTGGCCAAAGATTGCAGAAGTTGTCGGTGATGTAGAGGAAGGGAGTGAGGAAGGTTCTATGCATGAGCAGTCTGGCTGTGGAGCCTGCCTTCATTGAGGGAGAATGAGGAATGGCTTTGAGGATGACTGAGCACAGGGAAAAAGGGAATTRGCTGGGTTTATGGCCATTCACGTGGTGTAATTTCTCCCAGGTGCACTCTAGGAGAAGAACTTTCATGTCTTCCTTGTTTTCCTTTTTTTTGGGGGGGTGAATATTTTTCCTATTTAGTGATATGGGAGTTTCTTCTCTTTGGTTTCACTGTTTGTATTTAAGTTAAGGGGATATACCAGAAATTAAATTTCTCTGAAACCCATGTGGTCACACATTTTCAATCATGAGAATGTTGAATGTTCAGATCTTCAGTGCTTCCAGTCAGAGATGGAACACTGGCACTCCAGGGGTCTTCTCCAGCTCACAGCTTGGGCAGGACCTTGATTTGGTTTAAATTATTTATTGATCTGATGCCCTCAGGAGCCTCCTGTTTCTCATGAGCTTGAAGCTGCTTCTGTCTGTGAAGTGTTTTGACAAGTGTTTGTTTTTCTGTTCTCAGTGTCTCTCTGAACCTGGGAAATGGCAGTGATGGGAATTGCATGCCAAGGAGCTCCTGATCCAGCAGTCAAGCACAAGAAGGAGCTCACGGCTGCCGAGGGGCTGAAGGAGACAGTGAGTGAAAAGCAGAGCAGTGTTTGCAAAGTCGAAGATTCAAAGAAGGTCATCTTTCAYAGTCAGTGGAAAATCCTGAATGATGTAATCACCAAAGGAACAGCAAAAGAAGAAACAGAAGGAGGCTGTGCATCAATTTCTATTATTGCYCAAGCAGAATGTGAGTAGCAGGGCRGGCTGCGCTTCATTGAGAAAAAGGAATGTGTAAAGAGGGATGAGATTTCACTCCCTTGGCGCTCCTGGAGAGCTGAGACCACATCTATTTGTAATCCCAAGCGGGGTGGAGCTGATGACACATCCCAGACTCTATTTAGGAAGCTCATGAAATSTCCTAATAATGTGGCAGCATTTATGAATAAAGCATAAATAACGGACCAGAACCAGGCCTGTCCACCTCAACCAGATCTGTCCTGTGGGCCACCTGTTGATGGCTGACTTCTGAAAGGTGTTTAAAACGGGATAAAGAGGAGGAAACCAAAGTGAAGCTGTCATCTGGGAAAGAGCTGAGGGATCAGGAGATAGCTGGGAAGCCTCCTGCTTGTGGGGGAGGAAGAATGTGGTGTGGGTGGTGTGACATGACTGCTCAGCAATTGTCTGGATCACCCATTTAGCACGGTGGCAGAGCTGTTTGAGTCCAGTTGTTACTGGGACAGACTTTGCCAGGTTTGAGACACGTGATGGTCCTGTTTTCTCTCCCACAGGTGAAAACAGTCAGGAGTTCAGCCCCACTTTATCAGAGACATCCTTCATTGCCCACAGTAAACGTTACAGGTGAGAGACCTCGTAACACAAACACCTCTCTTCRCTGTTGTGTCTGCTGACTTCTTGTTCCAAATCACCCTGGCTCTCTGAACTTAAAATATTTTTCCAACAGCACTCTTTGTTGGAATTAGCTCTTCAGTCTGAAGCCTGGGAAGAGTGTGACTTCCCCAAAAYATTTTCCTCTTAGGGAAAAATACAATTTTAGGCACAAACCACTTGCAATACCTTGCATTGTCTTATTGTCCATTTCTCCCAGGCACATTCTAGAAGAACTTTCATGTCTTCCCTTTTTTCCTTTTTTTGGGGGTGAATATTCTTTCTGTTGCGTTATATGAGGGTTCCTTCTTCTCTTTGGTTTCACTGTTTGCATTTAAATTAAGGGGATATACCACAAATGAAACGCATGTGGTCACATAAAACATACAAGTTTTACTGCCCTTGTAGCCTTCTGCCTCTGTTTCTGGMTGGCCAAATTTGGGTTGAAATGACTGGGTTTTTGTAAGATTCATAGGGTTGAAGTAAAAGGATCCAAGGAAAAATGTTCAGTCGTTTTTATCTGAACTGTGCTGATGCTTTTGAAACTGTTACACCATCCTCTGAAAAATTGTGTGAAACCTGGGCTGCTGCTGGAAGGAGTCCTCAGAAAAGGGAACAGCTTTATTTCTGGGAAGGATAAACAAAAGAGGGTGAGAGAACCTTTGCTTAATGACAGCATCAGTAATAGAAACTGAACCCAGAGAAGCTGGAAGTGGTGAAAGAGACAGTGATGCTTTAGATGGACAAGTGGAGGCCTGGGAATTGTTTTTCTGGAGTCACCTGGGAGTGGGATTCTGGCTCCTTATGAAGAATATCTCCCAAACTGGAGCTTTCTTRAGTCCTGGAGCTGTGTCAGGCAGCCCCAGCACCCTGAAAGGGCAGACATAGRTGCTGCCCATTTCCTGCTGGCTTTCAGACACCTTTGGTGGTTCGACACTGCCTAGTGGCTTTATAACATTGTCCTCTGAACCATCTGAAGAAGTGCAAAGTGACCCATTTCTGAGGGATTTGATGTGAGTTCTGKAGTTTTCTGGGATGCACACCAGCTGTGTGTTCAGGATCAAGCCTGAGCCTGAATGCCATCAGCCAGGACTCTRCTTATGGCATCTTTTAGCACTAAAACAGCAGGAAAAAATGAAGAGAGTAGTGCTGGCTGTGCCCTGCATCACTGATCAGGAAAGGCACAGGAATGTATCAGAACTGCTCTGAATCAATGGAATAACTGCTTCATTTGAAGATCAAAAATCCTGCTTTCTCTTAGTCTTATTTTAAAAATCGAACTACTTAGGATTGGTATTGAATCCTAAAATCACAGGATGGTTTGGGTTGAAAGGGACCTTAGAGACYATCTTGTTCTGACAAAAAGCAGGCAAATATCCCTCTTGAGAGTTCATCTCTTTGTGCAGACCCCAGCTGGAATGTTGTGTGTATCTGTACATTCCTAGAAATTGTGCTCTAGTATTGGGCTTTACATGCCCAGCACATTTTGGCTTTTTGAAGCTGTTTTATTCAAGTGCACTTAGTCATTCCTTTTCTTTATGTGAAGCTCTTTTGCTTCCAAGTGGAGCAGGCGTTGATATTATGAACACTTTTTAAAATTTTAATAATTGTTTAAAATATACTGCATTCATACATCATCTCTGTGTTCACTAGAAATCAACCCCAAACTGTCTCAGAGTAGCCTGGAGACATTCAGTGCTTTTTTCTCTACTTTGCCATGTGCAAAAAGAAACCTACAGAAAGAGCTAGARAGGGATTTGGACAAAGGAGCTGGAGTGCCAGGACAAGGGGGAATGGCTTCCCACTGCCAGAGGGCAGGGTTAGGTGTGGTATTGGGATGGAATTCCTCCCTGGGAGGGTGCTGAGGSCCTGGCACAGGGTGCCCAGAGGAGCTGTGGCTGCCCCTGAATCCCTGGCAGTGCCCAAGGCCAGGCTGGAGAGGGTGTGGAGCACCCTGGAATGGTGGAAAGTGTCCCTGCTCATGGCAGGGATGGCACTGGGTGGGCTTTAAGGTCCCTTCCCACCCAAACCATGCTGTGACTGTATGTTCTAGTCTTGTTCTTGCAGATTTGTAAACCCTGGGACACTTTAATATTTTGCTTCACCCACACCCCACCATTTCTTTTGTGCAATGCTGGATGTGCTGCTGTGCCTGGACCTTGAACTTACCCCTATCAGAAGGAAAGAAGTTGTGTTTTAGTTCTGTGCTCTTTGACTCCCAGGAGGCAGAGTTGCTAATTCTCTTTGTGGGGGTCAGAGGTGTCCCCTGAGCTGTGCTTCCCTGTCACACCTCCGAGCCCTCCTGTGTTCTGGTTTCCAGCAGCCGCTCGGACAGCCTCGATCAGATCCCCAACAATGTGGCCCACGCCACGGAGGGGAGGATGGCACCCACCTGGAGAGGGAGGCACCGGGGCAGGGCCAAGAAGAAACGGCACAAGAAAAGATCCAAGCTGAAAGGACAGCCTGTGGCTGCTGGCAGGAGAAGTCCAAGAACTCCAGAACAGGAGAGCTGCACCCCAATTCCYGTCCAGGTCAGAATCCTTAGCCTTCCATTTGTACTGTCCTTGCAAATTCCTGATAGCTGTTGGGTGAATTTTGGGTGGCTGGACTGAGGTTCCTGCTCAGCTRTTTGGTTTTGTTTTCTAGGAGGATGAATCCCACCAAAGTACTCTTTATAGAAACAGTTTTTGGGTTCCTGAATTGAACAAGCACTTGGGCTATGATRCGCTGTCTTTTGAGAAGCCTGACAGAGTTCTATCCACAAGCAAACTCCATTCCCCGAGGAGCCAATACAAAACTGAACTGCACAAGCTGATCAGCCCCATTCAGTGCCTTAATCATGTTTGGAAACAGAGGGACACTGTTCCTCAGCCTGAGACTCTCCATCCTTTTCCCTACAACATCCTACCCCCCCATTTCCCCCATGTGGACAATCCTCTCCGTGCCATGAAGCTGAATGCTCTGGACACATACTTCCATGGTGACCTCAACTATCAAGACAGTCGCTTATCTGGCCTAAACYTAGAATATAATTTCACCAAATGCATCAACCAGTCCGTGCAAACCAGCTCAGACAAGCTTTCTGTGGAAGAATATTTGGTAGATGCCTTGAAGGGGAGTGTGAGTTTTGGAGAACCACAGAATTTAGCCAGCCTGGCCAAGACGTGGAGAGGAGGCGGGCTGGAGCTGAAGGAACAATTCCATGACGCGAGTGAAAATGAGGGCGTACTGCTCAACGAGGTGATCTGAGCCCACATCCCGGGGTGGTGGGAGCCAGAGTTTCTCCTGGGTTCTGGGAGAGGGATAATGTGCATCCATGTGCTTGCTTTTCTAACTGCAGTTTCTGAAYGGTTCTGATCTGGTTGGAGCCACCAGATAATGATGCTGAGTTGTTTTCTGCAGGAATTAGAGCCCTGTCTGTCTCAGGCTGCTGGCTCCATGCTCAGTCCCCAGACATGCAGGCCTGACTTTGAGCAGTGGGTCTGTTCTTAGCCAGTCTTCAGCCATGCCCTCCTGATGCATAAAACAAGGCTTACCTGAAACAGAGGTCAGACAAAGTGAAGAGAATAAAAGCAGACAAATTTAATCCAGGCCTGCTGGTGCATTGAGGGCAGACAAAGCCTCCTCCTGAGGCTGCACCCAAAATGGACCCGAGTCACGAGATCTTCCCCTTTTATCAGTTCTGTCTGATGAACACATCGGGCCCCAATTCTCCAATGACACCTTCAGGTGATGATGTCACCCACTCCAAGCTTGCACCCCCCAATTCTCTGTTGTTTCCATATTTTGGGGCTCTGAGGCAGCGAAGTGTCCTTGGATTTCAGGCTCAGAGAGGAATTGTTTTGTGTGAAGATGGGAGAGCAGCAGCTTTAGTGCTGTGCACTGGAGAAATACAAGAATACAGATACATGAAAATTTGGAAACTAAAAATCCTGAGGCATCACTCTGTTTGCTGGGGAAGAGCTGAATCCGTTCAGGCAGGCTGCAGCATTTATTAGCTGTGGGTGAGCTCAGCAGTGAGAGAAAGAAAGACTGGGTGGATTGGAAGGTGCAGGAGGTCAGTGTGTGCCTCTGCTGGGACCAGCAGCTCCTRCAGCATCCCTTGCATTTAAATCCTAGGGATTGATTCAGTTCTTCTGAATCCAGTTCTGTCTCAGCACCTTAAAGTCCTCCTGGAGGACTTCCCTGGGATCAGTGTGACCCTGTCACTGTTGTCTGTGGAGCTCAGRGTGTTCCTTACCTGCCTGAATGTGTTCACTCTGACACCTAAAGCACAGTCTCCATCTACTGACTGCAGAAAAGCTTTAACACAGYGTCTGCATTTAGTCATGGAAATGCTTGTTTGTTGTAGGATTTGGCTTCGTGGTGATGTTCTGCATGAGAAGGGACTAACACAAAGCTCCAAAGTCATCCCAATCCTACTGGCCTTTCTTTCTAAGTCATTTAGATCCAACAGAGCCCACAGAAACCAAGTAGGCTGATCCTGTGTTGTTTCATCTCAAGYCTGTGACAGAAGTAATCTCATACAGGGATTTTTAGAGAGGTGTTGTGGTGCCTGCCCTTGTGCCTCTGTCTGTGCAGCTCAACATCTCAGTGTCTCTTTCCTTACTTCATCTTTTTTGTTTGAATTTCAGAAGCTGAAGCCGGTGGATTACGAGTACCGAGAAGAGGTTCACTGGACCAAGTGCCACGGTTCATTGGGCATTGGTTCCTTCGGGGAGGTCTACAAGATAGAGGACAAGCAGACAGGATTCCAGTGTGCTGCCAAAAAGGTAATCCTGTGGGAGAGAAGGCAGCTTCTGCCACAAGAAGTCACACAGAGAGAAATCTTTCAGCTCCTCTTTGGGATTTTATTGTACAGTCACAGTGAAGTGCTGCTGTTGTGTCCAAGGAAAAGCCTCAAGGTGATGGTAGGGGGARAAGCAGATGGAGGACCTGGATGTGCACAGGGATCAAGCTCAGCAGCCAGAAATAAGTTCATTTGGCTTTAAAGTGTGCTGGAAAGGCATCCTGGGTGCTGAGACAGGCCAAGAGCAGAGATTTCTGAATGATTGYGAGTGACTGCGGGGGAGAAGCAGCCGTGTGGGCTGTCTGTTATCTAACTATTCTTATCTCAAACCCTGTCTGGGATAAATGGTTACATGGCAGGTATTTATTTCCCTGTTGAAAAAGGAATGAAGTAGGAAAAACCCAAGGCTCTGAAAGTCAGCAGGYTCTGAAAACAAAGCTTTCATCTCCTCTGTGTCACCTGCAGTGCTGGCACATCGCAGTGAGGTGCTGCTGTTGCAGATGCAGCAGAGGATGTGTGATTTTCCAGAAGCTGGCACCATAATCCGTTGTACTCCAGGATTTGCTGTTGTCACACGATGGAGGAAGTGTGTGGGGCATAACTTGGATTGGGGTATGGATTTGTAGGCTGCCACAGGGATGCAGACAGAGGGATAATGCAAGGAGATGAGGAAAATGTAAATGATTTGATTTGAACTTACACTTGAATAGTTTCATCACCTCTGTGAACTGATGTTTCTCACTTCACTTCACTAGAAAACTTCAACGAGCGTGTGGGAAGTGTTGGGCTTGAGTACAAAAATATTATGTGCCRAAAAGAACTCTAACATGCATTTTTCAGTTTAAAATGTCCTTTTTCCCTCATTTCCACTGGGCTCAGCTTGCTGTGCTCCCTATGGAAGGATACAAGTGGCAAGATAAGCCAGTATGTGTGTTTATTTAACCATTTCAGCTGTCAGCTATAGAAACAAACRTCTCTCAAGCATGTAGGAAATTAATTCCTCTTCTGCATCCTCCCAGTTCAGGTGTGAAATCTTGTGGTGACACAGCCAGCCTGTTTCCTGTCAGTGTGTAGCTATTTAAATGTATTATCCATTTGGCAAATCCACAGTCTTGGGAGAAATAGCTGTTCCTCGTGGGGTGTATTTTCAGGAAGGAGGATGGTTGTGCTGAAAAGGGAAACATGAAAGTAGGAGAAGCTGAAGTTTTCCAAAATGTCATTTTMTCCCCTAATTACTGAAGGATAAATTATACTTCTTTATATCAGAAATGCATCGAACTCTGAAAGCAGAGAGTTCTAACATGCAAATTGGACACTTCACTCTGATCTAATTTTCCAAAGTGCCTCCAATTCCTGCTGCCTGCCTGTATGAGGAGGGCACTGCCTCACCTTCTTTCACCAGACTTGGTGCTGGAAGCACCTGCTCTCCAAATTCCTGAGATGAAAGAAAACTAGCTATTGCTGGATTGCTGACAGTGAAGAAACATGAGGCATCTTTTTCCCACCAGAATCTTCATGACTCATGTTTTCCTTCTGGACTTCAAGCAAATTCTTGGTTTATTTAGTTTGGCTGAACTTAGCCAATAAGGTTTTCCTTTAACCATTTTCAGGATGAACACCACCTAAAAAGGTGATTATGCAGATGGATTATGCAGCTTGTGGATGTGTTTTGTATTCCCTTCCTGCTTTGGGAGAGTTGAATTTTTGCCAAGTGTTGCAGCATGCCCAGTTTTTTTCCCTGTCTGTCATAAAAGCAGAATGTTCAGTTGTCAGAATTGTCTTTTTACTGAGACAGAAATTACCTTGTTCCTGAAGAGTACCAGTCCTTAGCTGCAAGCTGGAGTTACTGCAAGCTGGCATCTTTTGTGATAAATCTTCACTTGGATATTTGAGGGTTTATCATCCCAAACGTTCCCAATTCCTGCTGCACCCCCTGATTTCTGTTAAGGAAGGTCACAGAATCACTAAGTTTGGAAAAGACCTCCAAGACCTTTGAGCCAAATGAACCCATCCTCGTGCCCCTGCTGTCACAGAGCCATCAGGGAGGGGCAATTCTGTCAGGATCCATCCCAGATTTTCTCAGTGCYTCCCTGTTTGTGTAGGTGCAAGTGGAACACTTCCGTGCCGAGGAGCTGACGACGTGCGCGGCCGTGACGAGCCCCAGCGTTGTCCCCTTGTACGGCGCCGTCAAGGAGGGGCCCTGGGTCACCATCTTCATGAAGCTGATGGAGGGTGAGCAGGGAAGCACCACTGTCACTGTCCAATGCACGCTGATCTCCTCTTCCTCCTGCCCCAGTTTGRATCTGTTCGTTCCTTGATGCATCCAGAATGTTCCTGCTGTGGATTCCTGCATGGGTTGGGGTGGCTGTGTGTAATCCCTGCAGTAAACCCTGTGTAATCCCTGCAGTGGGYTGGCTGTGGAGGAATAATTCCCAGTCCTGCCTCTCTCCAGTTCAAGGTGTCTCTTTTTTCCAGTAAAACACAGCTGGGGCTGGTTGGTGCTTGCTGTGGATTTGCAGGGCACCACGTGGAGACGATGGGACCCTCTCTGAGCAAACCTGGATGTTTCCATTGCCTGGTGCTCTTTTTGTGACCAGAACCATGGAAAACAGGCTGTGACAGAATGAGCTGGTGCTCAGTAGCACTAGAAATGCTTGTTCTGATCACTGAGCAATTACTTTTGCTCCAAAGCAGCCCTGTTAAACTGACACTAAGCAAAGAAACCTCATGACCAAGGCTTGGTTTGGTGGGCAGCAAAAACCCTGGGAATAAACAAAAGGAACAGAGCCATGTGTGGAAGATAAGTGCTGTCAGACCTGGAAAATCTCATTTTTTCATTGGAAACAAMCAGCAAYGCTGATGATGCTGGGGAGRATTTCAAGATAAGCTAACATGGACTCCCTGGATTCCTTTCTAGGTGGCTCATTAGGGCAGCTCATTAAACAGAGTGGCTGCCTGCCAGAAGACAGAGCCCTCAGCTACCTGGGCCAGGTGCTGGAGGGTCTSGAGTACCTTCATGCTCAAAACATTCTCCATGGAGATGTCAAAGGTAGGAAGTTGTTTGAAGTACCTTGTTCTTCCCTTTTTCTTAGCWGAAGCAAACCACTTAGAGATTAAATTATGGGATTACTTACTAAAGTTACAGGATCTGCTTACTGGATTTTCAGATCAATTTCTTTGAAATTAGAATTTCCCATGGCTCTAGACTGCTGGGAATATAATTATATCACCTCTTGCTGTCACCTCGTGGGTCTGTCAGGCTGTTTGCCCAGCCCAGCCCCACCACTGGGCTCCAGGAATCTCCCRGGCAGGTAATTGGTAGTTTATAAGCAGAGATAATTACAGTTCTGTACTTGCTTGARCCAGTGACACTCCCTAGGAGAAATAAACCCTTTGGCCTTCAAAAACTGCAGTTTTGTGTGCTTTTGACCATTTTTGCCATCTCCTAATCCAGAGGAGACTAACRGAGCCYYTCTCGTTGGCAGCGGAGAACGTGCTGCTGTCAGACGATGGGAGCAGGGCCCTGCTGTGTGACTTCGGCCACTCTGCTCATCTGCACCCAGACGGGCTGGGAAAGTGCTTGGTCACAGGTGAGGCTTCACTGCTGCTCTTCTCAAGAATTGCCTTTCTGACTCATTATTTCTCGTGAACGTTTACATGCGGCTGATTTGCAAGGCAACTGCATTTTCCAGGCTGAGCGTTGCTCGGGGTGTCTCAGGTTTATTGGTATTACTGTGAGGCATCCCACTGACAGCCAAAATGACCCRAAATTTGGGAGGTGATGCTCCTTATCTCCCAGGCTACAAGGGTTTTTGTAAGATTATGTCAGCCTGCTGCACTCAGTGTTTTGTCCCTGCAAGAAACCGCATTGAAACTTTAAAATCCTACTCTGACTTGTCGTGTAGCCTCACTTAATAGTGGGGAAGAGTCCTAACCTTCACTAAAGCGGTTTTTGGGGTTTCTTTTGGAATTAAACTTAACATTGCTTGTTCATCCAGCTCTTGAAAGAGAAGAGTATGTTTTCTATGTCAAGCTCATGTTTTGCCTCCTGGATTTGCTTGGAAGGGGAGTTTAATCCCTGTTCTGTGTATAAGGGACGGGTCTGAGAGGGAGCAGATTCTAAGAGTACACAGTGATGCTTTTTGGGTTAAGATGGAGACCTTCCACTACAGAGGAAAGGTGGGAGAGATGGGATTGTTCATCCTGGAGAAGGCTCAGAGGGGACCTTAGAGCTCTTTCCAGTGCCTAAAAGGGCTCCAGGAGAGCTGGAGAGGGACTGGGRGCAAGGGGTGGAGGGACAGGACACAGGGAATGGCTCCCACTGCCAGAGGGCAGGGATGGATGGGAAATCGGGTAGGAATTCTTCCTTGTGAGAGTGGGATGGCCCTGGCACAGGGTGCCCAGAGAAGCTGTGGCAGCCCCTGGATCCCTGGCAGTGCCCAAGGCCAGGTTGGATGGGGCTTGGAGCCACCTGGGATAATGGAAGGTGTCCCTGCCATGGCAGGGGTGGCACTGGGTGAGCTTTAAGGTCCCTTCCCACCCMAASCATTCCATGATTCTGTGAAGRTGACACATCTCTCACTTTGGCTGGAAAGACTGGGATTCTGCCTCCCACAGTGGCACTGGAGCAATCYCCTGGCCTGCCTGCAGTGAGTTCTCCCTTGGATGCTTTCAGGGAACTACGTGCCTGGCACAGAGACCCACATGGCCCCCGAGGTGGTGATGGGGAAGCGCTGTGACTCCAAGGTGGATGTGTGGAGCAGCTGCTGCATGATGCTGCACATGCTCAACGGCTGCCAYCCCTGGACCCAGTACTACAACCACCCCCTGTGCCTAAAGGTGAGTGACCCAGGCTCTCTGCAGTGCCAGGCAGGTGAGATGCCAAGGCTTGTTATTCCTGGCCACGGAGCACTYGCCTGGGGCTGGATGGCTGGGAGCCAGCTGGGCTCCTGACAGGATGGCAGCCTTGCTTTGGGAGCCCAGCCTTCCCTGTGCCTGCTCGTCTGTACCCTGCTCATGACTTGGGTGTGACTTTGGAGCCATTCAGCTGTAGTAAAATTACTGTTCAGGTCTCATTTAATGCTCTCATTTCAGTTGGAAACACTCTCRGGGTGGGAAGAACCTTCCTGAAATCAAATGAAGCCTCTCTGGTCTAACCTCTTTCACTTCCTGTTTGTTACCCAGATCGCTAAAGAGCCGCCTCCTGTGAGGGAAATTCCACCTTCCTGCAACCCTCTCACTGCTGAGATTATTAAGCTGGGGCTGGAGAAAGAGCCTCTCCACAGGGCATCTGCATCACAGCTCAAAACTAAGACCAGCGTGGCACTCGAGGAAGGTACAAACGTCCTGATGCAGCTGATGGAGCTAAACCAGTATTCCCACCTGGTTCTATTCCTTTGGGAAGCAGCAGCCTGGTTTGTTGTTCAGTGTATCATTTTCACAGCACTGATGCATATTTTGGGTCGATTTGCCCRTAGCTGAGTGTTTGCCACCCAAATAAATGATTTGATTTCCGGTGTGCTGTCACGTGCTCTCCTTCCTGCTCTGCTGGAGGAGGTGAGCTCGCTGTGGGTTTGTTCAGGTGCTGTGCCTGGGCTCCTGTCAGCTGAAGCAGCAGGTTTGCAGCACAGCTGCAAGCAGAGCTTTGTTGCATCCTTAGCTGTAACTTGTACTTGTGGTCCAGTCTTGTCCCTGACACCATCCCTGATTTATTTCACCTTAATCCTGCTGAGTGGTTCTGTAATACAAAAAGAATTTTTGGAGGTGATGTTGTTTGATCTTTGGAAGAAGCCAGGCAAACACACTTCAAAAACTCTTACAGCAAAGGAGAGCTTTTACCTATTTTACTGCTTTATTTGATAATGTTTGTTTCTTTTACCTCTTTTATTGCTTTRTTTGATAATGTTTGTTTGMTTTTYGTTTTTTGTAGTGGGAGGAGTGAGAAGCCCCTGGAAAGGTGAATACAGAGAGCCCAGACATTTCTCTCTGAGCAAAGAAAGCGATATACACACGTCCCTGTCCCCCACAGTGAGCCCAGTTTCTGAGACTTGTTCTGACCCAAAACTGTCAGTCAAAGTTTCCTGTGCCAGCCCAGTCCTACCACCTCCATCTCTGGAGCAAACAGAGGAGGTGGAGGGAACAACTGACTGGAATGAGGGCAAGGAGTTACCTGAGACCTGTGATCCACCCCCTCTCTCCTCCACTCCTCTGCCCYTGAAGAGCTGCAGCCACGTGGAAAGAGCCACAACCATTTCAGAGCAAGAACTTCAGCAGCTGGAAATCGGTGAGCACCGGGCTGRGGGAGGAATTCAGCTCTTTCTGCTTGAGAGCAGGATAAAAATACAGCTGCTTTCCCTTGGCCTCCTGACAGTTATTTTTGGGTTTTCAGCTTGGATGTCATTTTGCTCATAGTTCCTTTCTCGTTACACAAATTGCTCAACCTTCCTTTAAATTACCAAAACTAATAGTTCTTAACCAATTAAATGTGCCACAAAGGTGGTGAACAGGATTTCCTTCCCCCTGAACAGGGGGGAGCCTCTTAGAAAACAGCTTGTTTCAGACTTTCTTATGTGCACTGTGTAAACAGTGTCAGGATTCCAGCTTCTTCTGGAATTTTAGGTTCAAATATATTTTTTTTAAATTCAGGGGTAAGCCAGGATAATAATAAAGGGATGGCAGATGTCAGGCAAAGCAGTGCAGTTAAAATCAGCCCCCTGCAGCTGTTTTGTTCTGGACATTGAAAAACCTACAGCCACCAGCCAAAGGATTTGATTACCAAAAGCAGTCCAGAATTTGAAAACCAACAGTAAATTCAGTGTGGAAATCAGTGATTTGTCCAGTTTCTTTCCCCCAGTAAGGAACTGCACTTCTTTTTTCTCCCATATTTTCAAGTCTTTTTAAGTGAATTGAAAGCTTGAAGTTAGGAAAAAAGTGGCTTGAATTATAGCTGTGTCAGGGGTCTGAGGAATGAGGAATTTTAGGGGTTGCTGAGGGGYAGCATCTTTCTCCAATGGCTTTGGGTCTCAGCAGCCTTGTAGGAGCTGGCTCTCTATAGGATATCTGGATATTATCAGATATATTTGCAGTGTAATATCCAGCTGCTTGTAAGTACTTTTATCCAGATAAAGGAGTACAAGCATCCAGATACCTGTGAGAGCTGAGTACACAAGTTTAATCATTCCCTGATARCATAGATGGATCTAGAGTGGCATCTCATAGGTGCCATAATGGGCAGGAACTGGGAAATTTTGGGTGAAGTTTTGCATGTTGCTGCACAMCCCACCTCCTCTTGCCTCAGTTTCCCTGTGTCACAGTGGCTATGGCCTCTGCATGGCAGAGTTTTGCTGGCATCGATATCAGTGCTCATTAAATAATGCTGAAGAAGCTTTGGGTATTAATTGCAGAGCTCTGATTATAGCAGGGAGGCATGGGAAGAAACACTGGAAATGTCTCTGTTCTTTCCCTTTTGCTGCAGAACTGTTCCTGAACAGCCTTTCCCAGCCATACTCTCTGGAGGAACAGGAGCAAATGCTTTCATGCCTCAGCATTGACAGCCCCTTTGTGTCTGATGCCAGTGAGAAGGTGAGYGGGGGTGAAAGCAGGGATGGGGTGGCTGGGTGACCCCTTCTGGAAAACTGTGCTCACCAGAAATCCACAGTTTCTCAGCTTTGCAGCTGCTTTTTGACACCCACTTTGCTGGGGAGCACCTTGGGAGGAAAGGTTTGCTGCTGCCCAGTGGGGTGATGAGGGTTGTAGCTGTGCTTTGGTTCTCTGTCCAGCATGSATCACTTCCTCCAGAGGCTCTCCTGTGCTGTATCCTCACAGGAAGCTTCAGGTGTGTGGATGWGGAAAATTCTCAGCAGCCTCAATGCTGTCTGTGCAGAAGGAGTGAGCTGGGGAAGCTGTGATGGGAGTAGGAGCTGCACCAAGCAGCACTACTGATTCTCCTTCCTGGCCATGGCCACCAGTGGGAAATTTAGGGAAAGACCAGGAGAGCAGGACAGGAAAACAGAGACCCAAATCTTGGATATTCATTCCCAGCCTATGGATCAGTTCTCCATTATTTTAACCCATTGTTGTTAATGAATACACTGATCAAGTTATTTAAATACCAATTTTAATTAAATTGGGTTACTCTGTCTCTGGTGTTCCTAAGGTAGGGAATGCCAATGAGGAAAACTGAGTAAGCCTTGTTGGACCAGGGAAGGACAAAAAAACCCTTCAATCWCAGTTTTCAAAGACATTGAGTCCCAAATTGTGCTGCCTGGCATCTGCAGGAGTCGGTTCTGGTTGGGAGCAGCTCTGTATCCTATTTTTGTCTCTCTTCTCAGCCTTCCAGTGCTTTTTGAGGAGGACTGAGGGAGTTCTGCACAGCTCAGCTGTTGACACAYGCAGTGTGGGCTCTGGCTCTGCTTGGTTTTCCCCACTAATACCCCCTCATATATTTAATTTGATTTTTGGCTGGTACAGAGCACTGTGCTGATAYCAGATTGACCTGCCATGACCAGGACAGCACAGACCCTTTGCAACAGTGCTGCAGCATAGGGCCTAGAGTTGGTTTTGTACAATTAATTGCTTTTCCTGTGTGTTTYTAATGTAAGCAACAAATATTTGACTGATGTTTGATTCTGCTGCCACTCAGTACAACAAACTCCTCTTTTCTCATCGTTTTCAGCTCATTGTAGATTTAACTATTGAGRATATCAGATGGTGTCTGCACACTTTGCTCTGCTATTTATTCCCATTCCCAGATGGCACAGAAATGTTGACTAACTCAAGGCACAGCCTTAAATCCCTCTGRATTTCCACCTTTTTCCTCCTGACCYGATTTTAACAYTCATCTCCCGCCAGCWCATTTTCTTTCCAAGCTTTACACAAACTTGTGCTTGYTCCTGCAGAACTCCATGAAAGCTTCCCAGAGCTTGAGGGACACCATGAGCTCTGGGATCCATTCCTGGAACAGCCARGCAGATGGGCAGAGCTGCAGCTGGAACAACCTGCTGAGCCGCAGCCGGCACACCGACACCCCCAGCTGCTTCAAYGGTGGGTCTGCGTTTCCACAAATGGCCAGGAAGCATTTTCTCACTGTCTGGAGGGGTTGGATATGGAGTTTTTTAACTCCTCTTATCCTTCAGTTGCTGTGTCAGCACAGACCCCCCTAAAGATGAGTTGTGAGGAGGCCCAGTCTGTCCCAGTCTGGGTGGGTGGAAGGCACTGGGTTTGCACAGCAAAATCCAGGGGAGCTCCTGAACACACAGAGCCTGTGTGTGCCCTGCCTCATGGGCCTTCCATGTGCAAGGAATGTTTTATAACCACAAACAGCCACCCAGAAATTTTGAGGGCACATTGTGCAAATTAATACATCACTTCAGCTGCTTTCTTGCTAAATGCAGTTCTGCTCTGTGAGTCATTGCTGTCTGCAGCAAGCTCCATGCTCAGCAGAAGACCTACATAAATGAAATCCTTAATGACAAAAAGGAGTTTTTCCCTGTGTGAGTGCCTTGTCAAGTTGGWTTTTGTGGACTCTGAGGTCCTTGTGGCTCAGCAGAAGTTAAAGAATCTCTTGTGCATTCCAGGAGTGAAAATCCAGATCCAGCTGCTAAGTGGAGAAAATTTGCACATCAGGGATTTCCACAGGACGAAGGTGGGAGACATTGCCACGGGGATAAGCAGCCAGGTGAGACACAAACTGGGAGTTCAGGGCATCATTTGAGCAGCCATTTCTTCCCTAATGCAGCTTCATAATCCCTGAATGCCWGGGAGACCCGGGAACCATTCAGGGATCCTTAGGACACCTTTAGAAGCAGAACCTCAGTGCTGCTCTTGTGAGTGTGGTAMAGAGGGTGCTTTCTGAATCACAGCATCAWTAAGGCTGGACTAAACCTCCAAGATCAAATTCAACCTGTGACCAAATCCCACCATGCCCATTAAACCATATTTCCAAGGACCAGTTACGTATTTTTGGAATCTTTTTAGGGAGGSAGATTGTACCACTGCCCTGGGCAACCTGTTCCCATCCTTGTCTGCTCTCGCAGTGAAGAAATTTCCCTAATATCCAGCCTGAACCTAAAATCAAACCTGAATTTTAAGCCAATGCCAACTGACAGGGTGACAATATGTTAGAAAGCACTTGTGCTGCAGCTTAAAAAAATCCTTCTGTTCAATTCCAATCCTTCCCCTTTTCCCTAAAGAAGCACTGCATRGCTTTTTCATCATGAACAGTGGCATCAGCTCAGGGAAATGAGCTGGGTTTGGCTGGGGTGCTTCCAGCTCGTTCCGTTGGAGATGTTGGCACACTCTTGTGAACCTCACTGTGGGCCCCCTTTGGCTGCTCCTGAAATAAACTCCAGAGTGTCTGTGGGACTGTGACTCATTTGAGTGTGAGATGTGATTGTCTCTAAAAGATAATGCACCAGTCCAGCAATTGCCCCAGTGGTGCTGGCTCTCTCTGGGCTTTGTTCTCGAGGACATCACAAAGCAAAATACCTGCAGAGGAGCTCATGTGCCCAAACATGGGCAGCTCAGGACCCCCCAGCTGTGGGCACTTTGGCAGCAGGGTGGGCACTGCCCAGTCCAGTTCTGAGGGATTTCCTAACGAGAGGAATTTGGGGTGCTGCTGCCAACCCCAGGAGCTGCTGCTGCCTCGGAAATGACTGTGATGGAGGGTTGGGATGTTCTGGGGGAGCCTGGAAGCGCCACTCAGTGCTGCCATGGAATTCCTTGGTGGGAGTGTGGAGAGGTTGTTCCTCCGTCCTGTTCCCACCGCTGGCGTGGGACTTCAGGTGCACTGTCCGATCCTTGGAGGAGGAAGGGACAGCAGCTCCCTCAGCTCTGACAGGGCTGAATTTTGCTGCAGAGTTTTTTATAAAAAAACACAGTGTGTGTTTGCTCCACAGATCCCAGTGCCTGCCTTCAGCCTGGTGACCAAGGAGGGGCAGCCGGTGCGCTATGACATGGAGGTGCCCGACTCTGGCATCGAGCTGCAGTGCACCCTGGCCCCCGACTGCAGCGTCAGCTGGGCCTGGCGTGTCAAGCACGGCCAGCTGGAGAACAGGCCCTGAGGCCCCGCCTGCTTTGGAGCTTTGCACCTTGTGGAAAGGAGGGATTGAAGAAGCTTCCGACCTCCCCCGCCGTGGAGCGCCAAGCAGCGGGATCGCAGCTCACTGCCCTCGCTTCTGTGGCTGTTCTRATCCGCTCCCGAGACATGTCCTGAGCTTTGACATTCCCCAGGACAGTGGGAATGGCTTGGTTTGGGTGTGAGTGTTAGAGCTTGAGGATGGTAGGTGGAAATTCCTTGTTTTTCCGAGGAATGTGGTGGTGCTTCTCAGGAGAGYGGGGGGATCGGGTGATTCCCTTGCTTTTGCTCCCAGGTGAGGTCGGCCGGTGCTGGGCTTGCCCAGAGGAGGAGCTTGGGTGCCCTCAGTGCATCTGGGGTTGGTTGTGCTCAGGGGAGCTGGCTGACTTCCTTCCAGCTGGAGGAAAAACCATTTCTGTAGGTTCTGGGGAGCATCATCTCCACCTCAAGCCTTTTGCACAGGGAGAATCGGTAGCAGYCACTGGCTGATTCTTGGTTTCACCTCCCACCCTTCCCCGCAGTCGCTTCCTTCTTGAATCAGACAAGAACTTGGTTCCCAGAAAGAGCTTTGCTTGCAGCTCCCACCTGCAGGTCTCGGAGCAGCTGCTGCTCTCTCTGGTGTCCCTGGCAGGCAGGGCAGGATCAGGGGATGGAATTCCTTGGTCGGAGTGTGGAGGGGTTGTTCCTCCGTYCTGTTCCCACYGCTGGCRTGGGATTTCAGGTGCACTGTCCCCTCCTTGGAGGGGGAAGGGACAGCRGCTCCCTCAGCTCTGACAGGGCTGAATTTTGCTGCAGAKTTTTTTATAAAAATCTCCCTCCCAGCTCCCAACCCAGCCCAGTGCCCCAGTTCTGTGAGCTCAGCCTGGCCTCATGAGGCTTCCCACTCCTCCCCTCACTTCAAACTGGGTTCAYTGAGTGGGATGGGCAGCTGGGCCTGGAATGCCTTCAGCTTTGAATTATTTTTTTTACTGATTTGTGAATGTTTGGAACACACTGAAACCTCATAGGCCAAGTTCAGGTGGGCGGGTGTTGTTCACCCTTCCCCATCCTAGAACGGATCCCGAGGGAGGTGTGAGCTCATTCAGGGCTGCTCCAAGGCCTGGCACACCTGGGGATCACAGTCCCTGCCTGTGCCTGTGCCTGTGGCTGTCCCAGAGCTCTGTCACTGCCTCTGAGCAGGGGCTCTGCCTCCAGCCTGGGCAGAGAAACAACTCCCAAAAGCCAAGATGGGCTCTGCCAAATCCATGCTGGSCTGGGAGACACAACAGGGCAGCAACGCTGGCAGTCTTCCCCAAAAAATAGCTGGGAAAAGTTAAACTCTGGGCCTCCCTTTTTGAGGAGCAGCCCTCCTTAAACAATGGATGCTCTTTCCCTTTGGTCTCCCAGAGCATGGGCTGGTTTTGCTCCACCAGACAGTGACATCCCCAATCAGAAAACTCAAGTTGTGATGTAATAAAAAAAAAAAGTGGAACTATTGAAGAAAAATGAAACCTGTCACCACTCCGGGTATAGTTTTTATAGCACTTTTTGTTCTAAAGCACTTAATACATTCTCCAAAATAGGCACCTAATTATATCTGCAATGCCACATTCAGAGTCTTTTTAGTAAATAATTAACACATTATGCACATGTCTTCCAGGAAGGAGAGGGGAATGGGATAGGTTGGCTCGATTTCTTTTTTCAGACGCCATAAACTACTCAGAGTTGAAGCTCTGGAGCAGGAAGGATCAAAGTGCCTCTTCCAGGGCTCCCAGGAGCTCCCAAGCACATCCTCAGTGCCTGCCTGGCTCCCTTCCTCAGCTTCCTCTGGGGACAGGAGGAAAACGGTTGTTTGTGTGAGTCTGTGATGATGGGTCAATCCCAAAGCGCCCTGGGGTCCACTCCAAAGGCTGCACCTCGTGCCTCTGCTGCCTGGGGGATGCTCCAATGTCCAGGTGTCTGATCCCATGCCTTGGCATTGAGATCCAGCCCTGGAGCAGCGGGGAGGGAGCACCAGGGCCATCTGCAGGACTCCTGGGCTCTGCATCTGCAGCATTAACCTGAACTCAGGCTACCTGCACRGGGCAGGGACCCATCCTGGGTCTGGGATGGCCTCATGGGGTACGTGGAGGTGTCTGTGCTCCCCAGGTCTGTGGAAATGTCCATGTTCCCAGGTCCATTGAGATTCCATGTCCCCCAGGCCCATGGAGAGTCTATCTGTATTCCCCAGGTCTATGGAGATTCCGTGTTCTCCAGGCTCATGGAGATTCCATGTTCCCCAGGTCATTGGAGATTCTGTGTTCCCTGGATCCATGGGGATTCTGTGTCCCCCAGTCCCATGGAGATTCCGTGTTCTCCAGTTCCCTCACAGCAGCATTAGCCAGGATCCATCCTCTTTGTTTTGCCCAAAGCCTTCAGTCCTGTTTTGCTGCCACCACAAGTGACCAAGTGAGGCTGCAGGTTCCCAGCCTGCCACCCTTGGCCATGTCACAGCGCTCAGGGTGGGACGTGGTGTCACCACCCCTGCCTGGGGACAGCCACCTCGGCAGCCCCACAAATCCCTGGTGCCTTCCTGCTCCCTGAGCTGGGATTCTCCTCCTGGGCCCATCTCCAGCCAGCCTGAGCTCTCCCTGCCTCCCTCCTGCTGCCAGGACAGTTCCCTCTTCCCTTGCCTTGTCACTTTGCTGTGACAGGCACAAACACCCCAGCTTCCAGATGAAGGCAATCCTGACAGCAGAGACTCGGGGAAGCTTCTCCTGATCCTCGTTCGGGTTTGGCTGCGACTGTCAGGTTTCATAATGAGTGTTTGGGACAGAACCCCGGCTCAGGGTGGGGAGGACAAGTAGGAGTGGTAAACACAGATGGCTCTTGTCGTGCAGCTCCTTCAAGAAGGCTGGAAAAATCCCTGGTGCTGAGGAGAAATGGAAGCTGAGGATCTCTTTGGGATGATGGGGCAGTGGGGGAAGGTGCTGGAATGAGGAGCTTGTATGAAACGAATGACACTTTATAAAACTGTGATTTCTYGAAGTTAATGTGTTTGACCTGCATTTTCACAGGGAAAAAAAAAATAAAGCTAAAGAAAAAAAGGATTCTTTTTGTTGTCGTCGCTGGTGGTTTGATGTGTTGTCCCAGAGAACAAGATGGTGATGCTGAATAAGACATTCTCCAGGAAGAAGAGCCTCATCTGATTAAACTGTGTTATGCTAATTGGGTAATATGTTAATTACCCTTGGGTTTGGGGCATGAAGGGGGAGTCAGGGAGGGTGGTGGGGCACTGAGGCTCCCCAGGGRATGGTCCCAGTCCCAAGGAGGTCCAGAAGAGTTTGGACAGTGCTGCCAGGGATGCACAGGGTGGGATTATTGTGGTGTCTGTGCAGGGTGGGGGTTGGACTGGATGATCCTTGGTGGGGTCCCAGCCCAGGATATTCTGTGATTCTGTGATTTCTGGGGCTGAAGGRGCAGCACGAACTCTGCTGGATCTAGGCCTGGGCTTTGCTGAATCTCCTTCCAAGCAGAGTCCCTTGTCCTCCCSCTGTCCCTTGGAGGGGATTTCCTGCCCTGGGAGCTGCTCAGCCTTGCCCTGGGAGGTGCAGGGGTGAGGCAGGCAGAGCTCTGGGGATCCCCTCACACGTCCCAGTGCTGCTGCAGGAGCTGTTTGGTCTGCAGGAGCTGAGCCTTCCTGAACCGAGCCCAGGGGGCTGGRGGGCTGTGGCCGGGCTGGTGAGTGAGGACAGTTATCTTGAAACACATGTTCTGTGCTGTCAGGCACCCACGTGTCTGTGCTGTGAACAGACCTCAGATCCCTCAAAACAATGGTGGGTGGTTTGTTGCTAGAATCCCAGACTGGTTCGGGTTGGGAGGGACCCTAAAGATCATCTCGTTCCCGCCTCTCACCTCCCACGACCCCAGTCCTTGAACACTTCCAGGGATCGGGCAGCCACAGCCACTCCCTCCATCTTTCCATCCTTCCCTTCATCTTCCCTTCCCTCCCTTCTTTCCTCCTTCCCTGTCTTCCTCCCTCCCTCCATCCTTCCCCTCCCTCCATCCTTCCCCTCCCTCCCTCTCTCCACGACAGCATCGCCCCTCCGTGCAAACCCTTCTCCCAGACGAGTACTTTATCCTCTGAGACATTTTATTACCAGTTCTGCTTTAGATTAAACAGGCCTTCAGTATATAAAAATAATGTATACAAATGAGCAGTTAATGGTTTACATTTCTGGCTTAAAGGCATTTATAAGTTACACATTCATTTCCCATCCCTCCCCGGGCGCGGAGCCGGCGCTGAAGCGGCTTAAATACAGCAGGAAGCAGCGGCTGCTCTGGCTAAAGCTGAGATGAGCGAGAAGGGACAGGGGAAGGGACAGGGGAAGGGACAGGGGCGCGTCCTCGCATCGGGACCGTTTAATGAAGTAAATGCACGGAGCGGTTTAATTGCGGCACAGCGGGGTCGGGGTTACTCAGCGGCAGCGGGGCAGGGGAGGGAGCGACAATCGGGTCCGGGCGGCTCTCGGGCTTTTGCCTGGTGGCAGCAGGGACCCCGCAGCCTTTGGGACCCCGGCTGTTGCGGGGTTGGAGGCTGCCGRCATCTCCTGCGTATCCCACCCCACAAAACCGGGAGACCCCCCGGTTCACCCCAGAGGCTCCAGCCCCGACAGGGCGGATGGTTGCTGGGGACGCAGGCGGGCGGAGGTGCCGCCACCTCGCAGAGACTCGTCCCTGCTGCCGATTGTCGCAGCTACGGAGCCTCCCCTGCGGCGAGGAAGAGCCCAGCGCTGCTCGCCACAGCCTTGGGGACACCCTGCACGGGGGCGTTCCAATCCCTGCTGCCGCAGCACAGAGGAATTTGAAGGAAGACTTATAAAATCCTGTAAAATAGCACCGCTGCCAGCCCCTGCGGCCGGGAGGTGCCCGGGGTGGGAGCTCTGCAGCTCCTCGCTGGCTCTGCAGCGCAGGAGAACGCGGGGCTCGGGTGGCTCTGCGGGGCCGAGGGAAGCGGGGGAGATGTGCGGGGACCGCTGTGGCCCTGGCTGACACCCCCTCCCCTCCCGCAGCGGCGATCGAAGGCACCAGCAAGCTGAGGAGCGGGACACGCCGGGGCGCAGGGCTGGACCCGCGGCCGGMGAGCGAGGGAGCAGCGCCGGGTGARGGATGGGGCAGCTCCTCTTTTCCTCCCAGGACAAATCGGGGCCCTTTCCGTGCTCCCCGCTCCCTGCCCGTAGCCAGGAGGGCCCTCCAGCCCTGCCAGCCTGGGGAAGAGGAGCTCAGGGGTATCGCCAAGCAAGCGCCGGGGGTGCCGGTGCCGGACCCCAGGCCGGCAGGGAAGAGCTGGCGCGTTAAGCGGCTGGAGCAGCTCGGAGCGGGCACTGTCCCTCCACCCCGCCCGGCCCCGGACTCAGGGACGGCCATCCCSCGGTCCCGTCTGCGGCGGGAGGACGGTCCTGCCCCGCTCCTGGAGCTGCACGGCCGGCGCCGGTCACAGAGCGATGTCCGGCGTSGCCTGCAGGCTCTGCCCCGCCGCCCGTTTCTTGGCGCTGCCGCGGGCCTTGTCCCCACGGCGGTACGGGTTATTCCGCAGATCTGCACCGGGGGAAGCGCGGGGGCTGCGTGAGCGTCACTGCCCACCCSAGATGGCTGGGATCCCGTCACCCATCCCAGAAAAATGGRGTGGCTTGGGTTGGAAGGGAYCTTCAAGCTCATCCAGTGCCACCCCAGCCATGGCAGGTACACCTTTCACTGTCCCAGGTGGTTCCAAAMCCCGTCCAACCTGACCTTGGGCACTGCCAGRRATCCAGGGGCARCCACAGCWGCTCTGGGCACCCGTGCCAGGGCCTCACCACCCTCACAGGGAAGAATTTCTTCCTAACATTCACCCTAAATCTCTCCTCTGTCAGTTCAAAACCCTTCCCATTGTCCTGTCTCTGTCCCGGGGTCGCCCCTTTGGGCGTGCGGACACCCCGGAGGAGCCAAGAGCCGCACGCAGCCACAGGAGGAGCAGCAGCCACGAGCAATCAGCCCGCGGGACCCCGACCCTCGGCTCTCGGAGCCCAAAACCCAGCTAGGGGCTGATCCCGGGAGCCCCCGGATTTGGGGTTCAGCGTGGGCCAAAGTGCGGCCGCGCACTGGAGGAGCCCGGCGGGGAGGGGGGGAAGCCCGGCAGCCCCCGCCCACCTGCGCCGGCCCCGCCGCCCCACGTTACCTACAGAGGACTCTCCTCGTTGAAGCTCACGTCGCAGAAGAGCCGGGACGAGCGTTTGCCCGTCCGGGCMGTGAAAGGGACAGTTTTGAGAGCTGAGCAGAGCGATCCAGAGACAGCGAGGAAGAGCAGGAGGAGGAGAGAGGAGGAAGAAGCAGAAGAGGAGGAAGGGCTATGAGACAGAGCAGGGAGCACTCGGCAGCTTTGCCACATGGGATGGGAAGGTCTTTCCTGTGGGTTTGGTCCCCGTGACCCTCGGTGACCCGCCATGTCCTGTGACAGCCCCTGCAGCCCCCAGCCCTGGGTCTGTGATGTGGGCACACACCTGAAATCATCTCTCACCTGAAATTATATCCTCGATGGCCCCATCTTTGCCTTCGTAGATGAGCGGCTCCTTCACCATCTGCTTCTTCTTCAGCTCAGCAATCATGTCCATCTGCTGCCTCCTGGCCTTCTGGACGGGCAGCTGGGGAGGGGACAGGGCCAGTGAGCGGCGTGGTCACACCCCAGAGGAGATGGGGCACCCTCACCTTCACCTCCCGCCCAGCTCTCCCTCCCCAGGACCTGTTCAGGCCCTCCCCACCACTCAGGGCTGGGGTGGGACCCCAGGAGCACACGGACACGGGGGCACCTTCACCTCGGGTGGCTGCTCGCTGCCGGGGGAGACGGATTCTGCCTCTTTGGCCGCAGCCTCTTGTTTCTTCCACAGCTCGATGTCCTGCTCTGCTTTCTTGGGAGAGGAGCAGGAAAAGTGTG